TAACTGGGCCCAGACTCCTCGAGACCTCGAGGGGGTTGCTAGCAAATTCAACCTTTTGCACCTGTTGCCTGATAGACCCCCTACATATAATGTGCCCATGGCTGCCTGCTTTCCTTTGAATGTAGAAAATGATCTAATTAGATGGTCTTCAGATCATCAGATCGCACTTTTTGATAAGCGTACAATACATAACAGAAGGCTATTCATAGACCGCAAAAAGATATAAGCGGGCTGTTTAGAAAACAAAGATCTGAACAGTTCTAGTGCTATGAGTTTGGACAGGAGTTTTGGTGCTTAGTAAGCCAATACTATACATATTTTCTTGCTCTTTTTACTGCGAATCTCTTTGGTCCAGGAAAATCACAGTGTTATACAGTGATATCCCGAAAGTTTAGGTTGTGGCCGTTGCATAAAAAATATATGGTTAATTATTGAAAGTTACTTTGCTTGTCTGTTGGTCTACTGTAAGGCAACGCAGGGCTGGCGCCCGGCGATCAAATATCTAGACTAACCTTATCTTACTGCAGGGAGTTGTAAATTTACTAAAGAAGAGAAAAAGCTTGTCTCGACGGCAGAACCTAAAATATCTGTAGTACAAAAAAAAAAAACCACACCCCACCAAAACTCAACTACACATTGCTAACCCCACATCGTTTACTCTACCTTCCCCATTTACATTCGAATCAATGACAGCCGCACTTCGAACTCTAAGAATTGGTACTATTTCCTTCCTATTCCTTCACAGATGAAATGATTCAATTGTTAAATCTTCGTCCTAGGTCTCATTCCCGGCGACGGAATTGGTAGAGAGGTCATTCCTGTAAGGGCCCAGCCGCAATTTTTTTTTCTTTTCTTCCTTCCTTCCTTCCTCTTTCCTCTCTTCCACGAGTGCTAAGAATTTATAAACTAGGCTGGCCGTCAAATCCTTGAAGCTCTGCCTAGCGCTTTTCATCTCAAGTTTTCGTTTGTAGACTTGGAGGCTGGATTCGAGACTTTTCAGAAGACTGGAAAGGCCTTGCCGGATAAGACTGTTGAGGCTCTAAAGAGTGATTGCGATGGTGCGCTTTTTGGTGCTGTCAGGTATCGTGTTTCCGAAAATAATCTGAGGCCAATTGAGTTCTGGACTCACATTTTTTCTCTTTTAATAGTTCTCCGACCACCAAGGTTGAGGGCTACTCGTCGCCAATTGTAGCACTGAGGAAGAAATTGGATCTATACGCCAATGTCCGCCCAGTAAAGTCTGTTAAAGGGGCAGCTATTCCCGTGGACTTGGTCATCGTGAGGGAAAATACTGAAGATCTTGTGTGTTACCGTGCATTCATCCAGTCTTAAAGCAAACAACTAACACCTCCAAGTACGTGAAAGAAGAGAGAACCTACACCGCAAAGGATGGTACCAAAGTCGCTGAAGCGATCAAAAGAATCAGTGCCAGAGCGTCGCAGCGCATTGGAAAGATCGCTTTCGAAATCGCTCTTAAGCGTGCTGCTATCCGTGGTCCCAATTCTTCCGTTTCTCCGCTCGTAACTATCACTCACAAATCCAACGTTTTGTCACAAACCGATGGTCTGTTCCGCGAGACTGTTCGGGCGGTATTCAACGAAAACCCGGCATACTCCTCGGTTCGTTGCGAAGAACAGATCGTCGACTCCATGGTCTACAAGCTTTTCCGCGAACCATCTTACTTTGACGTTGTCGTCGCGCCAAACCTTTATGGTGACATCTTGTCTGATGGTGCTGCGGCACTGGTCGGATCCTTGGGTTTGGTTCCCTCTGCTAATGTCGGTGATGGATTCGCGATTGGTGAGCCTTGCCACGGTTCTGCTCCAGACATCATGGGTAAGGGTATCGCCAACCCCATTGCTACAATTCGTAGCGTGGGATTGATGTTGGAGTTTATGGGCGAAACCGAGGCTGCTGGAAAGATCTACGAAGCTGTTGATGGTAGTCTCGTAGAAGGAAAATACTTGAGTCCCGACTTAGGTGGTAATGCTAAGACTCAAGAGGTGGTCGAGGATATCCTGAAGAGGCTGTAAGATGTTTCTTATGTCTTTACGTATTTTTAGGGAATTGTGATTTACAGAATTCCATGCGCTCTGCAATTTAGATGCCGGCAATAAAAAGTTATTTGCTGTGACACAGTTATTCAAGGTAAAGCTTTCTAACAATTGAAGGACACATTGGGTGATCGTTTCGTGTCGTATGCCATATAAAAACTGCACAATGCCGACTTTTCTGTAGTATTGAGTGGTTCGGGTGCGGAATTATTCAAATTACAGTATCGCCAAGATCAACCCAACCCTAACCCTGCTTACAAAAAAATTGCCCCTAGAAATTAACTTGCTGTCGCCTGACAAATGTTCCCACAAGCTTGAGAGCCCCTTCACAAAACGTCATCCCGTTCCGCCGAGACTCTTACCAATATTCCTAATTTTTATTTTATTTTAACTGAAGCCTTGGAGCACACTACTTAACCGCTCCTTTCACAATGCCTCAACCATCACGGTATTATTCCGTGATTGTTCCAGTCGCCATTCTTGCTGTCTCTCTCCTCACCTATCAAATCTACATATCGACTAGAGCTCCGAATATCAAAAAGCTGAAACGGTCTAATGCTCGGAGAATCTCCCGCAGAAATCCCCGTCGACTTGGCTCGGTCGGTGGCGTTGGCAGCAGCGAAGTTGGTGGAGTCGACAGTGAAGGAAATGTTATCTCGGATGAACGCTTACGAGAGGTGTTAGACCAAGAGACCATCGACATCCCCGACTCTATGGCGGATACATTAGTAGAAGCTGCTATAGCTGCTCGGGAGGCCCGAGGTGCTGGCGGAGGTATAGGACAGGATGATCTCAGCGACTATAGCTACGCCCCGGAACCTAAGGAGAATCAGAACCTGTTAAACTTGCTGTATCTTATCGCGGAGGAGCAATCAAAAAGGGATTCATACGTTCATCGAGGAGTTACTTGCAATGCTTGTGGTTGCTTGCCCATTAGGGGCATAAGGTATCGTTGTGCGAATTGCATCGATTTCGACCTTTGCGAGACTTGCGAGGCTTTAGATTCACATCCGAAAACACACTTGTTCTATAAAGTCAGGATACCGGCTCCATTCTTGGGCAATCCGAGACAAGCGCAGGCCCCATGGTATCCAGGAAAGACTGGTTTAATGCCACCCGGGCTCCCAGCCGATGTAATCAGGAAGTTTGGGTCTGAAACAGGGTGTAAGGTGATTCACTCCCCGCGCAAAATTCATGCTAACTTGGTATTTGTGAATAGTCGAACCACCAGAAGTTGAAGCTCTTTATGAACAGTTCAAGTGCCTCGCGGCCTCAGAATACGTTTCGGATCCTCTCAATCTCGGAGGTGCTATTTCTAGGCAAACATTTGACAAGTGTTTTGTCCCGAACACCCACGTACGCCCTCCGCCCCCCAATCTCATATACGACCGAATGTTTGCTTTCTACGATACCAATAACGACGGATTGATTGGTTTTGAAGAGTTTGTCCGGGGGTTGTCTATTCTGAACCATAAAAACCGGGCTGGCGAGAGGTTACGGCGAATCTTTGACGGATATGATCTAGATGGAGATGGTTTTGTGGATCGCAAAGATTTCTTAAGAATGTTCCGAGCTTTCTATGCTCTTTCAAAAGATCTCGTTAAGGATATGGTTGCTAGTATGGAGGATGACCACTTAGAAGCTAATCAAGCATCCAACGTACTAGTTGGTAGTCAGCCGATCAGTGCTGCGTTTGCTGGAAATATTCCTCCTGGGACGAGAAGGCCTGTAAAGGGTGATGGTGGTTTGGAAGAAGAAGATGATGAAGATGAAGATGTGGACCGAGTTATTCTTCCAAGTGGAGATGATAGAGTTCATGGTGCAGAGCGGTCCGAGTTTCAAACTAGGCGCGGACCAGGTGTGTTCCGCTAAACAGTCTGGCGATAGATCACCCATGATACGAAATGAGCACAATGCTAATGATGATTTTCACACAAGGTTTACAGGGCATTTCAGAGTCCGCGTCTCTCGCACAGGCTCACCGTCGTGAAGAAGAACGTCACCGTGCCTTTTTCCTTGACTTACCGTCCTCCCCTCCAGGATCTTCACCCTCTGCAAGTTCTAGTCACCAAATACCAGACCCAGAAAAAGACGTCGGATCAGAGATTCTTTACCAGATCACACAGCAAGGCTTAAACGAGTTACTTGATGTGCTATTTTCTGCAAAGGAGGAATTGGCCCTTTATGCCAGAGAAGCGCAAGACGATGCCCCAGCGAAAAAGGAGGTCGAAGCAAGAGGCGGTGAAGGCAAATTAAATTTCGAGGAATTTGAGAAAGTTATGAAAGCCAAGCGCGGTGTGGATCTTGGCTTTGTAGGCACCTGGATCGACATGGCTAATTTTTAGGCAAGATTTGGGTCGGGCATGTCTTTACATGGAGTTGATGGGTAATGGTTATTCCTTATTTTCTTTTTTTTCTTCTTTGTATGGGCAAGGTGAATGGTCAGGCGATTTTACATGTAACTTTATGGATTACTTCTTTGATGTTTGTGTATAATAGTTCTTTTTTTCCAGCCTCCTAGAGCAGTTTATGCCATTCCTTTCTCCAAATTGTGTTGTGTACAGTACAAGTACCGGTATGGTGCTGACGCGCGAACCCACGGCGTACACTATTGTGGCAACTAACATTTATGAACTCCGGTTTTTTCAACTTTGTCATGACGCTTAATGATAATTTTTTTAAAAAACCCCCCCGCAAAGCTCTTCTCATTGGGTAGTGGACCGTATTTACAGAGTGACTTTCTTATTAGTCTTGTGGTTGAGGCTGTAGAGCCTTTAAAGATTGTGTTTTAGCAGGGATAGTGAAACTCTTATGGAATTTGACGTACAAATCGATCCCATATGAGGACTCTCGTAGTGCTGTTAGTTCGAGGTGAGAGCCCGAGTAGGTTCCTCATCGGTTTGAAAAAGTTTACATTTGCAAATGTGTAGCTAAATGATATCTTCAGCTCTGATGGCCAAGTTGGTAAGGCGCGTCACTAGTACCGAATACATTGGAGCTTATGACGAGATCAACGGTTCAAATCCGTTTCAGAGCAGCAATCTTTTTTTGCCCAGAACTTTTTTTATTCCTGTTATCCACTGTTTTGTGATGGATTGTTCTTAGAGGGGTTATTTATTATGGTGTTTTTGGATGTGATAATTGGTTTTGTCTCTCTCGAGGAAGGACCCAAGGGTTGTAGCCCGATCTTGTGATGCGTTGTGCTCATGTATGATCACTCGCTAGGGTTAGGAGTCGAATTGGTATCTTTACAGAGTGTAATATACGTTACGATATCAATCGTATACGGCACCGTACTATTCGAACACTACTCAACTCAGCCACGCAGTGTTTATACGAGGATATCTTTCTGCCACTGACACTTGGTTCATGAGCTTTATCCTAATTGTACACCAAGTCCTACTTAGGACTGGTGTTCCTTCTCCTCTTGTTCTTCAGTTTCTTCCTCTTGTTTTCTTTGTGTGTTTCTTCGTTTGCCTTTGTTATTTGTTTCGCTGTTGAGGTTGTCCGGGAAAACCGTAGTGTATGTGACATTCCCCAGACCCCTGGATAAATGGCTGGGCTATTATCCTCCCTATCATTGATACCATTGTATCGAATAAGTCCTGTAACGATCAGCTATTATCGAAGAAGTCTTTACCGAAAATAACTACTACATTCACTATTATTATCCTCCGCCTCTGAGCTATCGCACATTACTACATGGATCCGCAGAGTGGAACCAGAGTGGAGAATTGCTCAGGGACACACTAGATGCATAAAAATAAAATTTCCGGCTTCTACCACGGACAGAACAGGTCTCTGTCATGCCGGGTCCCCCCCGCAAGTAGACATCAATCATCCTCTGCCTGTTCAAGAAATATTTGACCGATTTCTCCTGTCTGCTATTCACAAACCTTCCTGGACTAGGAAAACTGATAAGCAAATAAATTTACTTTCCCCTGCCTACCTGGATTTAATACGATTCATATACCCGTCTCTCCTCGCCTCCTCTAACCCCACTCTTGCTAGAGTATTAAAGAAAAAAAATCTTTTGAAAAGCTTGAGCTTAAAACAAGTCTGGATGGGAGAACATGTCGGCGGGCTTGTGGGGAACACTAAAGAGAGAATTTAGACATTCGTTGTCAATTTCCCAACTTCCCTAAGTGGAAACCCTACGATACTCAAAGAAAGCGGAAGTGGAAGAAGAGCGTCCACTTCGACCTCTCCGCCAACACTCTCCACAAGTATGGCTGGTCGATCCTGGGCCATGACGACTTCCCGGAGACCTTGACGGAGAAGGAGAAGTATGCATCGATGGCAAAATACAAAGATGACATCTGCCGTACCCTTCCAAAAGAGGACTGCGCCCATTGGAAAGGGTACGTTGGCAACATCGAATATGCCTTTCTGTGCTGCAAGGAGGAAATGGAAAATGCGAAGAAGCAGAAACAAGTAGACGATTCAGCGCATGCCCTCAGGTGTAGTTCTGCTTCAATGTTGACTGCTTGCTCTGTTCTTCTGGTGATTTGCTCCCCCAACTTGTATTATTGGGTAAGTATTTACGGTAAGTTAGTGGCTGGGTTATTGTAAGTTACCGGCTACCATAGGTGTAGGGAAGGCTTCGACTTCGCCACCGGAGCACTTCTTCACATTCACAGATCGATTGTCTTCCGGCGGGTCCTTGCGCGGTAGTGGAGGTTTCTGAAGATTGAAACTTCCCGCTATCGTACTCGGGATACATTCGTTGCTAGTGTTCGCATATTTTATTCGTGAATTGTGGGCTGTGGGATCATTTGCATTTTGTTTCTTTTTTATCATCTACTAACGCGAGGGCTAAAGAGCGGTCGTATTCTTCGCCAGCTGGCTCGAGCCTCCATTTGGCTGTGGTCACTGACTCACTGGGTATCACTCGCTAAAACTTAGGGATCGAATCGGTACAATACACCCCGTCTTTTTTTTGCCTTTTCAAAGCGCGGTTGCAACTTGCACGGGTTGGCCAGTGGTTCTGTCTAGCCCATCATATCTTTAATCCTCTTATCCTGTATCTTGTTACCGCTGCACGGTATCTGAACTTGGCTTGTTGCATGGATCCATCACATATCTTTGTACTTAAAATTTTTTTTTGAATTCTGAAAGTGATGCGTTTTCAATGAAAACGCCGAATATATCGGAAATACGAGGTATTTCCGACGTGCCCGACAAGGCCTAAAACCAAATAAGTAAACATGAACTTCAATTATCTAACACGACCCCACTTACACACACCCCAAAAACCTATGAATGTCGAAAATTCTCATTTCTCCCCATCAAAATTGACTCCTAAAATCCTCTTCATGGTCCATCACTCGCCTCCCAAACATCGACTCCAACGCCAACGATCACAACCTTCCCACCACCAACAACTTCCGCGGCAGAAATATCCGCAACAGCACTTTCCCGCTGTTCCCGCATCTCAACAGTTATACCCTTTTCCCCCTCACTCACCTCCCATAGCTTAACCTTCTGGTCTACCCCCGCAGTGAGTACGCGCACACCAACACAGAGCACAGCAGTAACAGCGCTGGCATGCGCCCTCGGCACAATCCATGATTCCGCGACACTATTTTTGGTATCGATGTGGGTGATACCGAATGCGCAGTCATCGCCGCCCGTGTAGATGAATACACCATTCGCGCAAGCAGCTACGGTTAGGGCTTTGATAGAGCTTTGGTGAACGCGCTTTTCGACCGACTTTGGTGGGAGTGGGAGCGGGTGCGCGAGGGACACGGGGGAGAATGTCTTAGAGAGTGGATAGATACTCAGATACCCGTCTGTTCCGGCAACTAAGATCCCACAATTGTTAGGGAGGAACTTGACGTGTAGGATGCAGCAGGTCTTCTGCTCGCGAATTCGCGAGTATGTGCCTTTCATCTCTAGGCGGAAGGTTCCGGTGGATGGGGAGAAGTGGTAAAGGCGGATGGTAGAATCCGAGTAGCCGATGGCAAGCAAAACTCCGCTTCCCACATCTGCTCCTTCTCTTTCGATGGGTAATACATCGAACCCTTCAATTCGAAGGTCGCTCCATCCCTCACATGTGCCTTCGAGAACAATCTCGTTGGCGGAGCGGACTCGCCAGGCAAATAGTTCCCCTGCGCCACCGGCTGAAAACAGGTACTCTCCGTTGGGAGTGAATTGCAGTGCATGGATGCCAGTAGTGTGCGTGCCAACAACTGCACCCGGGCATAATTGCCCAGAGGAGGGTGAAAGTGTTGACAGGCGGAGGAGTGTGTCTTCTGCACCGGTGGCGATAAGATCACCGTGTGATGCTATGGACTTGATCTCTCGACCGTGAAGGCCTGATTGAAGAAGTTTACGGTGTGGGTAGGTGCGCGCTAAATGGGCCTTTCGGTGTAGTTGTTGATGTTAGCATCTAGGCGTGGATTAGGGAGGGGGAGAATACCTTTCCGGCCTTTGTCCAGACAAAGTACCTGTTTAGTCTATGTGTCCAAGCTCTGTGCGCTCCCCCACATTCCACCGAGTGCACTTCGTGCTGGGAAGTTTGGTTTATTATCGTAAAGTTCTTGCCGCGGAAGCCCCAGAGTGTTAGATTGTCCTGTTGCCTGGCACCTTCAATTACGAGTGAGGGTTTTGAGGCGTGGGTTTTTGTGAGGCAGATGTCTGGTGACAGGGATATGGATAGGTAGGAGTATTCGCCATTGCGGGAGGTAGTTAAAATCCCGGATTCCAACAGGAGGATGGCGGTTACAGCGTCTGTTGGATGAACTAGGGTGTGTGAAAGTGCCCACAGAGGACGAATTGTAGAAGATAAATCATAAATTCCCAATCCCCCTGCTCGGGAGCCGAGAAACAGTTGGTTTGTTTTTTGATTGATCGCCAAACTGGTTACTAGGAATTTAGCTTCCCCTGCTTGGACAGGTGACCGTAGTAGTAAAGTTTCTCTATCGATCAGTGCCGATGGTGACTTCGAGTGATCCATTTTAAAGGAGTGTAAAGAGAAGATTGTTGGCGATAAAACTGTAGTTAGGATGTAGTACTTTTGTTCATCTACGTTATTTTAATGGGTGGGGTTAATTGGATTAGATACAAAATCAAAAAATCAAAAGCCTGTACAGATTAGACACACCTCCTGTAACAGCTCTTCCGAGGAATACTCCTGCAACCTTGCCATTTTCACTAGCCATTGACTGCCACCACCAGGCTTGCTTTGATACCGTGTCTAAAACTCCAATCTGACCATTGTGGTCTCCCAGGGCTATCAAACCCGAGTCTTCCCAGCATGCCAAAATGCTCCAACCCTTCAGTCCTGTCCACTGACCAAGTAGGTCCCATCTCTTTTGACTGAGGGTGTAGGTTAAAACTCTGCCTTGAGTAGTTGTTGCAGCGAAGCAATCGTTGTCAAGGGCTGCGTATTCTTTAAACGTGTCATGTGTTTTTTTATCTTTACGATTAGGTTCGGCAGGCTCGTCTGGAAAAACCCCAATCTGTGTTAATATAGAATCCATCCCCCATACCTCCTCTTGACTCTCTTGGTCGTCTCGATAATGTACTAGCCCGATCTTCCCATCTGCACCGCCAGTAGCTAATAACCCTCTTTCAAAGTCTAGAGCATAGCTCCAAATATGTTTACCCGAATGTAATTGGTAGGTAGCTATATTTTTTAGTTCCACATTTTTGGTATTTTTTTGCCCCGGGTGAAATGTCCAAAATCTCGAAGTCAAGTCTTCCGATATTGAAAGTAATTCGACTAGGCTCTCTTTGATAACTGGGAGAAACTGGACACCCCAAATACGCGCTCCATGACCCCAGCCTATGGAAATGCATTTGCCTCCTTGCGCCAATTCATGTCCGAATCCCGTTTTTTTAATTTCTGTATCACTTGATACAGGGAAAGAAGAATCGAATTGGGATATATCCCATATTCTAATGGTTCTGTCGTCGCTGCAGGAAGCTAAGTAACACTTATCACCGTAGTATTTGGGTGAGATATTAACGTCAAATATAGAGCCTTCGTGGCCAAGAAGTCTATAATGAGTGTTGGGATTTTTCAGGCCATGA